AGAGAGTAGAGAGAGAGAGAGAGAGAGAGAGAGAGAGAGAGAGGGAAAAAAGATGTGCCCACCCTAGGTGTGGGTCTATGACAATAGGAGAAAGAGAGTGAGCAAAGAGAGAGAAAGAGAGAAATAGAGGGGGAAGCTCGAACCTACCCTGGGTACAAGTGGAGTGTGAGAAAGAGAGAGCAAGAGAAGAGAAGAGGAAAGAGAGAGGGAGAAGAAAGGAAAATAAGAGAGAAGAAAGAGAAAAAGAAAAGAAAAGAAAGAAGAGAGAGAGAAATAAGAGGCCCAAGAATTCCACAGCCTTCCGGCGTAACCTCTCCTAAGAGGTATTACTGGAGACAAAGGAAGGTACTATGCTCGAAACCTTGATATCTAGAGGATTCGGGAAGCGAAGTCGTGGGCTTAGCCCATCGAAAAGTCACTAACCCAAAGAGCCTCCTTAAAATAACCCAAAGAGAGAGAAAGAAGAGAGAGAATAAAAGAAGAAAGAGAAGAAAGAAAAAGAAGAGAGAGAGTGGACCTAATCTAGCTTACGTGTATGTGCACCTTTGAGGGTTCCTTTTGAGCACTCCTTAGAGAGGTGTCTTGACCTTTGGGGTTAAGGTTGGGGTCTAGGTCTAAGATGAAAGGACCTAGGTGGGTTAGGGTAGTGTATGAGATAAGGTGTATGATGATTTAAGGTGAGGAGTATGGTGTAGCGTATAGGAAGTTGGGAAGGCTAGGGAGTAGGAAGTTTGAGGTTCTAAGTATTAGGGAGTTTGAGGTTCTAGGGAGTTGGGAGTTGGGGGGGTTTGGAAGTTGAAAATTGGGAGTAGGATGTTTGGAAGTTGGGAGTTAGAAGTGGGAGGTTTGGAAGTTGGGAGTTAGAAGTGGAGGGTTTTGAAGTTGGAAGTGGAGGGTTTAAGGGCAATTACCTAAAGTGGTAAAATATTCTCTCTCCTTTCTCATGAAGTTAGAAGCTATGGACAAGAAAATGCTTGAAGGGATAAAAACCCAAATTGTTTTATTATACTTTCAAACTTAGGTTTACAAACATTTTGTGAATTAGAATATTAATCCTATTGACTAAATGACCAAAATACCCCTAAGCACTTTTCAACTAATGACAAAACCATCCCTCCATGAGGGATCTACTGTCATTGCTAGACCTCGGGTGCTTTTTAGGATGCTTACGATGGTATTTCGGATGATCAATCATCATAGAATCGATGCTTGAACAATTGTGGATGTTTTGATATCCTTTGATGGTCTTGAAATGGATTTTTAAGGAAAAACAAAAAATCTGGCCAAGTCCATAAACTTTGGGATTTTCGACCGTCAATCAAGCATGATCTATGATGTTTCAAGTCTTCATTTTGATCACAAATTGAATAGGATACTACCGTGATCATTTTGTAATAAATTTCGTCCATTTTGGTCTCCATTTGAGCATGCTCCAATTTTAAGAAGTCGTCGAAAAATAGGATTTTGGCGACCGAAAAAATATGTCATCTTC